TTCGAATCTACCCCGAGACACCAATGTGTTCCTGAGCAAGACACTTAACCCCTAGGCCACGTTTACACAAAGCCGGGTATTTAGCAAAACGAATATTTCCCCCTCTCCGTTTTCAAAAATGACATCGTTCACACACCCGCCAGCGCCATCATAACCATGCCAAACCTATTGGCGGCAGTTTTTTCGGCCAATCAGAATCCTCAGAATTGATAAGAGAGAACCTAAAACGCCGTTTCTCCCAGTTCACACATAACGACAACACATAACCGGCGTTTTCAGAAATCTCCACTTTGGCCGGAGTTTTTAGAAATAATCGTTTTCTGTGATAAAAACGGGGTTTTCGTGTAAACGAGAGGGCAAAACGCAGAGAAATATTTGCGTTTTCCCATCGTGTAAACGGGGCCCTAGTTGCTCCAGAGGTGTGCGACCCCTGACATATATAGCAATTGTAAGTCGCTTTAGATAAAAGCGTCAGCTAAATGTAAATGAATTGAACTTTGCAACATTGACAGTTATTGAACCGAATATGAATATTGATACTATTTTCTAGTAGAGCTGCTGCTGTTTTACAGCTGAAACTGAATTTTGTTTCATAATTGATGAACTTTGCAACACTGACTTACTGAACTGATTTGACTCTACATTGAACAAAATTGCGGTGAATATTGTTATTTTCCTTATTATTACTGCGAAGCTGCTTTAATAATATGACTTTAATAAAATGTGACACTCGCATTTCATGTTGTTAACAATTCAGTTGTGCAAAAATCCTTTGACATATATTTGTTTATGAAACATGAGTGAAGATTAGAAACATTAAACAAATATTAAAGGGGTCATAACTCAAGCCCTCCCTCCGTGGCTGCGTGTGTGTGTGTGTGAAACCTACAATCTCCTTCGACCTCTGCTATGAGACTCGTTCTGGCTGTCTGTCGCATCACTGATCAGTTCTTCTACTTTAACGTTAGCGTTCATGGGCACAAATATTACAACATCTCAAAAGACAACATCACATGTTACACTTACCGATATAAGCTCTGCAATGTCTCGTAACAAAGGAAATACCCTTTTCATCACTGCAAAGAAGAAGGGAAAAAGAGAAAAAATAAAATAAAGGAAGTGCTCCACAAAATTCACAAAGTATTTCATAATCTGCAGTGACTAAATGTCTCTAAAAAGGTCAAAGCCAAAACACGGCGTGTTGAAAAATAATCAAAACATCTGATAAATAATTATTGGTGTCTACTACTACTGCTTATTTTCAGGATTCTTAGGATTTAAAGGGATAATTCATCAAAATATTTAATTTAAACATTGATCAACACATACATTCTCACGTGTCACACATGTGCGGTGTTTTTGTAACTCATTGAAAGTATCAGATTTCATTTACATTTATTAATTTAGCTGATGCTTTTATCCAAAGCGACTTACAATTGCTATATATGTCAGAGGTCGCACGCCTCTGGAGCAACTAGGGGTTAAAGGAGTAGTTCACTTTAAAAAAAACTTTTGCTGATAATTTACTCACCCCCATGTCATCCAAGATGTCCACGTCTTTCTTTCTTCAGTCGAACAGAAATTAAGGTTTTTGATGAAAACATTCCAGGATTTTCTCCATATAATGGACTTCAATGGGAACCAAACGGTTCAAGGTCCAAATGAGAGTTTTAAACGACACCAGACGATGAATAAGGGTCTTATCTAGGACCCTTTGAGTCATGACTCAGAAAAAGATTTGTTCATTTTGATGAACGAGTTCGAACAGGAGAGTCACGAATGTGCATCACAGAACAGAGCAAGGCGAGCATTTGAGCTTATAAAACTGAAACTTTTTTATTTATTTTTTAAATGAGCGATCGTTTCCCTAGATAAGACCCTTATTCATCATTTGGTGTCGTTTAAAGCCCTTTGAAGCTGCACTGAAACTCTCATTTGGACCTTGAACTGTTTGGTTCCCATTGAAGTCAATTAGGAACCAATAGAACATTCAATTTTTGGATTTAGCGGGCACTTTTATCCAGAGCGACTTATAAACGAAGGATAGAACAAGCAAAATGTGCACTAAGTAATTTGTCATTTTCCTGGATGTGTTTATTGGAGTGAATGTGATCTCATCTGCTATACTGTATGTAAACAGGGAGTTATTGACTGTTATTCAGTCAAATGACCTCTCAATGTCCTCGGCTATCCACGATTACGTCACAAAGAGCTCCACCAAATATAATTAAGCAATCAGTGAGTGTTACATGGAGAATGTTGTCACTGTTCCACCTCACCTGCTTAACTAAAGTGAGCAGTATGTGTTTGAGAGCTGTGTGTGTGCGTGTCACAGCTGTTACTAGTGTGTTTCAGCATGCTACGCTGCGTCTCGGGCCGTATATGTGAGACTCCCTGGATGGATGGCCAGTCCGTGACAGTTTTACTTTGATAATGCAGGCTACAAAGAGCAGAGCACTGCTGAAGACATTTGTATACAAATGCCATGCAAAATCTGGTTGCTTTTTGGCATGGTCTTCAAGTCTCCAGTGAGGAATTCCCCTTTATTTGGCTGTTATAAAACAGATGATGCATGGATTGAGGAATCGGCTGTGCTGGAGTCTGTCTCAGTCACACACCTCCAGAGTTCTCACAATGTGGATTTATATATTTTCCGTCCAACATACAGATGTCCATGGGTGAAGAGGTGAAGAAGGGGTGATCTCAGAAGGACAGACTGAACCAACTTCACAACACCATCATCATTGTAGGACACTCTTCATCGGGACTGAGTCCAAGCCCAGAACAAACTTAGTCATATCCTGAGGAAATGTAAAAAAAATAATAATAAGTGTCTGCCTTAAATTAAGTACAATCAATTTGGCTGTATAAGCCATTTCAACTTAAATGATAGTCAACTAAAAATAGTGGATTTCATTTGTTGAATCTTTTGTAACTTCTTAAAAAAGGTTGAAAATTGCTTAACTTATTTTAATGTAAGAAAAGATGTTGTCATGACTTATTGATCATATCATTTTTAAATATTTTTGGAAATAAAAGTTGGAACACTAAGCAATTTTATACATCTTTACTAAATTCAAACACGCGCCTTCTCTGCAAAACCCGCCAATCCGATATCAGAATATATAACACACACACACTACATATATATATATATATATATATATATACAGTGAAGGAGATTGATTTAATCATCAGAAACTCAAAATAATAAGTTATCTGAAAAAATGTTGCGATAACAAATCTTGAAAATATTTTTTTACTGTGTACATACAACAAGTGTTATATATATATATATATATATATATATATATATATACATAAATACATACACTAACAATGCTGGGTTGATTTAACCCAAATTTGGGTAAAATATGGACAAACCCAAATGTTGGGTTGAAACAACCCAGAATTTTTTAGAATGTATATATATATATATATATCTGTGTGTGTGTGTGTGTGTGTGTGTGTATATATATATATATATATATTATTATATATGTGTGTATATATATATTATATATATACTATTACATGAATTGTTTTTGTTAAAAAACAAACAATAAAATAAAACAGATAACTGTATACTACAGTTTAAAAGTTTGGGGTCAATAATTTATGTTGGGTTAAAAATGTAATTTCAAATTTTAACCCAAATTCAACTTTAACTTTCAACTGTAATTTTTTTTATTGCATTTTTAACCCAACATTTGGGTATATCTATATGTATAAATATATATATAAATATATATAAAACATATCTATTACATGAATTGTTTTTGTTACACAGCAAAAAATTAAAAAATAAAACAGATAACTGTATACTACAGATTAAAAGTTCGGGGTCAATAATATTTTTACAATACTTTTATTTCGCAAATACCAAAATTGACAGTATAGTCATTTACAATGCAAGAAAAGACTTTTCAGTTTAAAATGTAACAGTTTCCGCAAAAATACGAAGTCCCTGATTCGATCATTGATAATAATCAAGAAATATTTCTTCAGCAACAAATATAATTATTTCTGAAGGATCGTGTGAAGACTGGAGTAATGATGCTGAAAATTCAGCTTTGATAACAGGAATAAATTACATTGTAAAATATAATCAAGTAGAAAACAGCTATTTTAAATTGTAACAGTGGTTAACAATTTAATGCAGCCTTGGTGAATAGAAGAGACACTTTCAAAAACATTAAAAGAAAATTAAGTTTTGAATGGTAGTGAATACATCTAAATACATAAACAAATTAAATCTTAATTATGTCATCAAGAAGCAGCATTTAGTTTTCACCAACAAAGTTTTCCCCTTTTGCCTTTCATTCACATCTCTTATTTTTTTCAAACTACTGGTATTTCACAACAGTGTTGCTCAATCCCAACACACATCCATCAGCTTAATTGAATGTTCACTTTGACAACACAAATCCCTTAGATAGCACTCATTTATTCTTCCCCGCGGAGACCACAGCGTCAACACTTCAGTCCGAGACCCTTATCTGCATTCATTCAGTACACTCTAAACATAATGCACTTACATTAGAGATTGAGGAGAAAAGCAAACGGCCAAATGAGTCGACTTATTACACACTCTTAAAATAAAGGTTGCAAAAAAAGTGTTTTTGTTTGTTGCAATAGAACAATTTGTGCATCCCTAAAGAACCTTCCAGTCAGCAGTTCTTAAAATAAAATCTCTTTCTTAATGTGAAGAACATTTTAAATAATATTTAGAACCCTTTTCCCCCCAATAAAAAAGAACCTTCAGTGCACTGGAAAGATTCCATGGATGAAAGATTCCAAATGGAACCATGCAAACACACAACACTTATTTTAGGGAAATTAAGTGAGTATTTATGATGATTTACCAAAATAACACTAACAATGTTCTGTGAGAAACATGCTAACTAAAGCAACATACAAACACCTACCCCCCACCACACACACACACACACACACATCCACCCACACATACACATTCAGACATTAGTCAGACGAGGGCTGAAAGTGCTGTTCGAGTAAAAGATGAGTAAGGTACAGAAGAAGTGAAGCTTGTGGCTCCTCCTCTGTTTTCTAGAGCTGACAGTCCCAGACAAATGGATAAGAGTGAAGTTACTCCTGCTCAAACTCTCCCATGCAGTTCTTCCACCACCAGCAGACACACACCACCTCTGCTCGACGGGCTGATAGACCCTCCGAGATCTTTGTCTTTGAGATTCGAAAGTCTTTTCTTTCTGTTGTTGTCAGCGCAGGAGACCTTTGTGCTCTTCTTGAAATCTCAGTCTGCAGATATTCAAGTGTGTTGCAGCGACGAAACTCCTCCTAAATGCTGACTGAGCCGTGTGGCCTGATGGGATCGGACGTCAGAGACCTGAGCGCCTTGCTTCCAGCGGTCCCAGCGCTGCCGGGGAGGGACTCCAACTGTTCCCTGCCCCTCGGCGGAGCTCCGCAGTGGGGACCGATGCTGGACTTTCACCCGGCCTCCCAGTACGGATCTCTTCCCTCACACTCCTTCGTCAAACAGGAGCCGGTTTGGGGGCCCGCAGACCCTCACGAGGATCCTCACTGCGGTTTGGGGGCCTTCACCGTGCACTTCTCAGGCCAGCTCACGGGGATGCCCTTCGCCGATTCTCCCTCCAACCAGAGCCGGATGTTCTCCGGCGGGCCGTATCTGGAGAACCCTCCTGTCCCGCGCAACCAGGGTGAGACAGCCGTCCCGTTCCTGGATCATATGCGCTCCGTCACGAGCCACATTATTCATTTGTCTCGTAACGAACATGAAACTTCAGAGTGATACTTGTGTGTACACTGTAAAAAAGCTAATTTTTTTAAGTTTTACTTAGAAAAGTTGGATAACTTTTTTTTATTTTGCCACTTTAAATACGCTTGACAAATCAGTTGGACAAACACTGTAAATTTAGTTTTCTAAAATCTAAAATTTGCTTATTTTACCACTGTATTTTAGGTGTGTGTAAAGTTTAGGATCTCTTATTACGCTGAAAATATTATTTTGAGGGTAAAAAAACTCAATTTTTTTAAGTTTTACTTAGAAAAGTTGGATAACTTTTTTTTATTTTGCCACTTTAAATACGCTTGACAAATCAGTTGAACAAACACTGTAAATTTAGTTTTCTAAAATCTAAAATTTGCTTATTTTAACTCTGTATTGTAGGTGTGTGTAAAGTTTAGGATCTCTTATTACCCTCAAAATATTATTTTGAGGGTAAAAAAACCCAGTGTTTTTAAGTTTTACTTAGAAAAGTTGGATAACTTTTTTTTATTTTGCCACTTTAAATACATTTGACAAATCAGTTGGACAAACACTGTAAATTTAGTTTAATAAAATCACAAATTTGTTTATTTTAACACTGTATTGTAGGTGTGTGTAAAGTTTAGGATCTCTTATTACTACCCTCAAAATATTATTTCTGAAAAGTGCATTAATCATGCATTTTGAAGTCTGTTAAATCTTAAAGTTATACACGTTTGTGATTTACCGGATTAAACTGAATTGTTCAAATACTAATTATTTTAATCACATCATATTGTATATGATAACCAGCATATTGTAGAAAACAAACAAAAGGTACAGGTAATATTCTAACAGGACATTATCCGTTAAGTTTACATTAATATTTTGTAACCCTGAAACACAAAACATTGCAATATTGTTCAAGACCGGTTAAACACCTGTGAAAAATCAATACGGAAAATTCCTTCAACACAGTACATTGGGCCCTATTTTAAAGATTTTTCAGTAACACTTTATTTTACAGTGTTATTCATTGTTACATTGTACAATAACGGTTAATTATGCATACTTGCATGCAACTAACCCTAAACCAAACCCTAACCCTAAAAGTACATTTAGTTGCTTAATATTACTTAAATGTATAAGTGTAACCGGCTTTTAGAGTGCAGTTAAACATGCATTTTTCATTAAACGACTACATAAATAGTTTTCAGCACTTTGTTTCACAGTCCTGTTTCACATGAACATACTTTATCAGTGTAAGGTGTAACCTGAGCCTTAACTTAACCCATGCAGTTACCTCAGGGCGTTTGTGAGTGCACAGACTGTAAAATAAAGTGCTACCTATTATTGAATCATCTGAAATCATCTGGATATATACAAGTAAAATATGTGAATAATGCCATATAAAGGCATTTATATGCTGTATGTCGCTCCAGACATAAAGCAGAAGAAAAATCAAAAGATTGATTTTTTGTTGGAAAGGAATGATGATGCTCTGATGTTTTAAAGGAAAATAGACTGAAATGTTTCTCAAATGGTTAAAGAAGTAGTTTACAGAGAACCAACTAAATAAATCCTGAAACCGTAATTTTCAGTAAACCGAAACGGTGATGATGTGCTTTAAAAAAAAACCCAAAAAATGTCATATGAAAGGGTCTTATCTAGCAAAACTATCGGCCATTTAAAAAATAAATAAAAAAGTTTAAGTTTTTTAAGCCCAAATGCTCGCCTTTTCATTCGAGTAATTTGGGTTTTTCAACGAACGAAAAAAACGAAATTACTCAAAAAAAAAGAGTCACGAACGTGCATCACAGAACAGAGCAAGGCGAGCATTTGAGCTTATAAAACTTAAACATTGTTATTTATTTATTAAATGAGCGATCGTTTCGCTTGATAAGACCCTTATTCATCATCTGGTGTCGTTTAAAGCCCTTTGAAGCTGCACTGAAACTGTCTTTCGGACCTTGAACCGTTTGGTTCCCATTGAAGACCATTATATGGAGAAAATCCTGGAATGTTTTCATGTATATACAGTGAAAAAAGACAAACAAACAAACACTTACTTGTTTTGTCTCTTTCTCTCTCTCTCACAGGTTATGGTACAGTAGCATTTGATGGCACTCCCAGCTACGGTCACACACCTTCACACCACACACCTCCGTTCCCCAACAATACCTTCAAACACGAGGACCCCATGTCCCCACAAAGCACTATGGGTAAGGAAAATATATTCTCAGTTAGACCCATAAAGCAGTAAATGTCTTTGAATAAATGATGAGTAAATGGAATAATTATGAGGCAAAGGTAAGACATGTAGGATGATTTCTGTGGAAAGTTGGTTTGTTTGAGCGTCCTGACCATTCCAACACAGCAACAATAACTCAGCCAATGGGGTGAGTGTGGAGGCGGAGCTATCTGTTTGTGACAGATATCACACACTTCACCTTTAAATACTTTGCCCACCCATGAGAAAAAAAGTATGCTTAATTGTATATTTTAGTCTACCATAAATGCTCGTCGTTGGTTTATTCGTCACATTTCAAAGACAATAAAAGTAATTATGAATTACATGTAAAGATGTATGTAATTGGGTCAAAAAACCCAAACTAATTGCATTTAATATACATTTAAACTGTAAATAACAATAATTACTTCACATTTTAAGTAATAGCTCACTTAAAAATGAAAATTCTGTCTTTCTTTCTTCGGGTGAAGACAAAAGAAGATATTTTGAAGGATTTCCAGACACTAAAAAATGCTGGGTGGTTTCAACTCAAATTTGGGTAAAAAAATGGACAAACCCAAATGTTGGGTTAAAAATGTAATTAATTAAGCCATTTTTAACCCAACATTTGGGTCTGTCCATATTTGACCCAAATTTGGGTTGAAACAACCCAGCATTTTTTAGAGTGTAGTATCATTTCCTACTGGAAGTCAGCAGAAGAGAAAGATTCATCCAGGTTTGAAACAACTTGCGGGTGAATAACTGATGACATAATTTTCATTTTGAAGTGAACTATTATTCCTTTAAGTGTATTATTTCCGTAATAAGTACTCTTTTTAAAAGTTTGCACAAGGGCTGTGCAGAATAGAGGATATTTAAGTAAAGTATGACAGATAAGATGTATAGGTATCTGGAGATCACCTGGAGTTCAGGAACTGAAGTGGCCACCGCACGGACATCTCGAGTTTTAATGTCAGGGCAGTAAATACTCGCATTTTTTCCTCCCTTCTCGCTCTTATTTTTACCTCTCCGTCTCCTTCCTCAAACACTCAAAACACTGAATGCAACAGTTTCTAAGTTCATTAGGCACACAGTAAATTACTCCGGAATAAATGATGGGGTCTCTTCTTCGGGTTAGCTAACAGAAGGAAGCAGAATTGTGGAGAAGAATGTTTTTAATGCTCCTGTGGGACTGAATCCCTTAGAAATGCACAGTGAGCTCTCAGAAACTCTGCTGACTGCTTTACGGTCTCAGCGAGCCCTGCGCTGTTTGGATAACCGCAGTGAAGACGAGGCCACGCTCTCTGTTAGCTCGACTGTAAAACGCTTTGTTTCACTCTCTTTCAGATATGCTTGACATATATGCTCTTTGAGGGTTGTAATATGTGCTTTGATTCTGTGATGATGCAGGTGAGCAACAGTACCCCGTCCCACCACCTGTCTATGGGTGCCACAGTCCTCCTGACAGTCAGACCCTGCTTTTGAGGAACAGCTTCAACAGGTACCTTCTTTATCACATTTACTCAATGCAAATTACACTCAGTGTAATAACAGACATACTGTTATCATTATTATGAAGATTATTAAAAATGTAGGTAATAACATTAGTTAACATGAACTCAGAATGAACAATACGTCTACAGCATTTATTATTCTTGGTTAATATTAATTTCAACATTTACTAATGCATAATTAAAACCAAAGGTTGTGTTTGTTTTAACAAAGATTAACAAAGATTAATAAATACTGTAACAAATGGATTGCTCATTGTCAGTTTATCCATAAACTAATGTTAACTAATGAACCTTGTTGTAAAGTGTTACCAAACGTATTAAGTTAATAACCCTCAAGGATTTGTCATACATGAAATAATAACAATAGAAATGCAATAAATTGCATCACAGAGGAAACAAGCAACCATGAATTACAAGAAGTTACAAAAACAGAAAGAATTCTTGATTCAACTGCCGAAATAAAGGGAAATTCCTGGATATTATCTAATGACAGCATTTGAGAAAACAATTTTGCTCGTCCCTCAGTCTGTAATAAAGGCGTTCTGGAGGGTTCCTATAGCAGAAATGTGAGGAGGATTATTAGGAACACCACACTAATACTGTGTTTGACCCCCTTTCACCTTCAGAACTGCCTTAATTCTATGTGGCATTGATTCAACAAGGTGCCGAAAGCATTCTTATACTAGAAATATTGGCCCGTACTTATAGGATAGCATCTTGCAGTTGATGGAGATTTGTGGGATGAACATCCAGGGCACGAAGCTCCCGTTCCACCACATCCCAAAGATGCTCTATTGGGTTGAGATCTGGTGACTGTGGGGGCCAATTTAGTACAGTCAACTCATTGCCATGTTCAAGAAACCAATTTGAAATGATTCAAGCTTTGTGACATGGTGCATTATCCTGCTGGAAGTAGCCATCAGTGGCCATAAAGGGATGGATGGTCAGAAACAATGCTCAGGTTGGCCGTGGCATTTAAACGATGCCCAATTGGCCCTAATGGGCCAAAAGCGTGCCAAGAAAACATCTCCCACACCATTACACCACCACCACCAGCCTGCACAGTGGTAACAAGGCATGATGGATCCATGTTCTCATTCTGTTTACGCCAAATTCTGACTCTACCATCTGAATGTCTCAACAGAAATCGAGACTCATCAGACCAGGCAACATTTTTCCAGTCTTCAACGGTCCAATTTTCGTGAGATCTTGCAAATTGTAGCCTCTTTTTCCTATTTGTAGTGGAGATGAGTAGGGCTGTATTCAACCAAAGAAATCCTTAGTCGACCAAAGTCGAGTCCTGCTCAACGATTAGTCGACTAAAAAAAAAAAAAAAAAAAAAAAACGTAATGTTTTGATTAAACATTTTTTTAAACAATTGTCATTGAGCATTTATAAAACAACAACGAAAAAACATCACAAATAAATAAAACTATAATAATAATACAATTCTTTGAAAATTAAGTGATTTTTTAACTGCAAAAAGTGAAGAGCTCTGTCCTAGGTCTATAGTCCCAATCGCGCACCTGACCACACCACACGCTGCAAAGAATATAACTGCTATCTGCCACATAATGAAAAATCCCAAGCTCTCGTTTATACAGGCTTTATATTCTTCTTTACTTTCAAAGCTATGGGTTAACTTTAGTCCTGACGATCAAGGCGTTTTAAACAACACTCAAAAAAACCCAAATAACTTAAAAACAATCCTATAATAGGCTGTAGGACCGCGTATAGGTTTATTTTCGTTTTGTTGCATTATTTAGGCTATTTTGCGTCAAATGCGTCAAGTGTACAAATAAAAACGAAAACATTAAGAAAACACAATCTATTGAGTCAGCATGATATAGCCGTTAAAAGGCTGCTCACGTCTTTTGCGCGCTCAAGTTCGATTTTAAATGTAGGCGCGCGACTTGCGCGCTCATAATGGCAACGCGATCGCCTCCCTCCACAGTCTTGTCGTCTTTGTTTTAAAATGCAGCCAGACAAAAGATTTATATTTCCTGGACATTTTGTCGACTAAAACCAAAACAAGCAGCGTTCTAACTGAATGAATACAGCATCCCTTACCGAGCGCGAGCAGCAGCGCAGCCAGACACAGGTGCGGTTCCCGAGTGTATTATGTGTGTGCGCTAAACTGTGGCGCAGTTACAAAAATAGCCTAAATTAAAGCATTTTAAAGTTGGGGACAAAACATAGGCTAATTATATTTAGAATACAGTAATAAATAACTGCTTATAAATGAATAAATATCAAGGAGTAAGTCATTGAAAAATTCCTTCTATTGGTAAAAAAAAAAAAAAAAAAATATGCAACTGGTCGACCAATAAGAATGTCAGTCGACCACGACGGCATCGACCGATTAGTCGACTAAACGACTAAAGTTGACAGCCCTAGAGATGAGTGGTACCCGGTGGGGTCTTCTGCTGTTGTAGCCCATCCGCCTCAAGGTTGTGTGTGTTGTGGCTTCACAAATGCTTTGCTGCATACCTCGGTTGTAACGAGTGGTTATTTCAGTCAAAGTTGCTCTTCTATCAGCTTGAATCAGTCGGCCCATTCTCCTCTGACCTCTAGCATCAACAAGGCATTTTCGCCCACAGGACTGCCGCATACTGGATGTTTTTCCCTTTTCACACCATTCTTTGTAAACCCTAGAAATGGTTTTGTGTGAAAATCCCAGTAACTGAGCAGATTGTGAAATACTCAGACACCAACAACCATGCCACGCTCAAAATTGCTTAAATCACCTTTCTTTCCCATTCTGACATTCAGTTTGGAGTTCAGGAGACTGTCTTGAGCAGGACCACACCCCTAAACGCATTGAAGCAACTCTAAACACAGGTTGACTTTAATGATGGATAAATGGTGGAGGTAACAACAAAGGAATGCAAGGAAACAAAACTGAGAACAACACCACACGATGTCCACGGGAGGACAAACAACAATGAACATAGGAAACACTGAGGGACAGTATATATTCTCAGTGGGTAACAAGCTTAAAGGGATAGATCACCCCAAAATAAAAATGATCCCATTATTTACTCATCCTCAAGGAGCCAAACACAATCGGACTTACAGTATATTATAAAATATCCCGCTCTTTCACGCTTTATAATGGGAGTGAATGGTACCAAAAAAGCGCATCCATCCATCATAAGAGTAATCCATATGGATCCAAGGGGTTTAATAAAGGCCTTGAAGGAAAGCAATGCGTTTTGTTAAGAAAAATACCCATTTTGATATCTTTATTAACTATAATCACTATGGCTTCCAGTAACAGCCGTATGCAAGTCTAGTTCCTGCAGAAGAGTGACCTCTGACCTGACCTATAATATAAGAGTAGCGTAAGCTTAGCTGAGAGTAAACGCTTCTCGCGGTTCAAACAAATCTGCATCTTTTTTTACGGTTTATTCCCAATCCAATCCAATGGGAATCAAATGATCTCCATTCTACATGTGCCACTGTGAAGATGATTTTTGCTGTTTTTACAAAAAGACCTTTTCTGTGGAAATCACATTCGCTGTCGATAGAGCTGAACTTGTATTGAACCCGGAACATTCCTTTAAAAGGCACATTAATTAGTGTAAGAAGTGAAATATGTATTGCTGATGGTGTGTTTGCAGTGGCACTGCTCTCTGTGACTGAATGGAGGTTCACTGAAGCCCAGTCTTGGATGGCTCAGATAAATCCCCAGTAAGTCTGCAGTGAGTCTTGCTGTCTGCACAAAGGTTAAGAACTGCACAGCAGCTCTTAGCAGGCCAAAATACACTCACAGTGATCTACTGCCCGTTTCCTCTGAATTCTTCTTCCCTTCTCGGCCTGGGCTTCCCCAGAGACATGAGAGGAGGAGAGAGGGGGAAGGATTTCACCAAGTACAACATGTTCCTGCATCAACATCTTTGTTGATATTGGAACAAGATTCCAATCAACCAATCAGATTTGAGAAACAAGTTTACAGTTCAGGTTTAGGCTTACAATCAGGGTTAGGTGCTTCGACGTCAGTGTTATTCACCTGTCATTTCCCTCTTATTTTAGGGATAATTTATGTGTAGGGTTAAGTTTAGGGGTAGGGTTAGTCGCCATTGTGTGAGTGGACATCCCTCGACTCAGAAAGACTCTTGCCCCGGGGCCCCCGCAGAAATGCATTCCCAAGTGAGCCTTCTTGCACAAAACAGTGCTAAAGCAGGGAGGAGATGGAGAAGGTCTTGCTAGTTGCCCCTTATTGGCCCAACCAGACCTCTCTTCTCGACAGCCCTTCCTCTGGGTACATCCTCAGGGATGGGGCATGATGGCACCCCCGTTTAGACCTTGGAGAGTTACAGGTCTGGTTCTAAAAAGAGGTTCTGGTCGCTAACACAATAATTTTTATGCCGCAGAGACCATCACGCCTGTAAGAGCACCCTCTCAAAATTAGTCTCGCTCCACCTTGAAGTGGAACTTATTTGTTGAATTGAGTCTTCTCTCCGTGAGGAGATCCCGAAGGTGTTCAATCACTGCAGTGCTACTTTCCTGCTAATGGGTTGGAGTGAGGCTCTCTCTTCCACTTCAAAATGTTGTTGCCTCTGAATTGACGCACATCGTGATGCAGTGGATACAAAAAGAAGCACGACTTGATCATCAGGTTCCTGAGGCAGGCGAGGAGATTGAATTCACCTGGTAATTTATGTCTGTGATCAAAGCTATCACCATCATTACTCAGTCTTCAGTGTCACGTGACCCGTCAGAATCACTCTAATATGCTGATTTGCTGCTCAAGAAACCTTTCTGATTAGCATCAATGTTCAAAACAGTTATTTGCTTAATATTTTTTGTGGAAAGCATGATTCGCTGATAGTTCTGGATAGAACGTTCGGAAAAGCAGTGCTTATTTGAAATCTTTTGCAACATACAGGGGTTGGACAAAAAAACTGAAACACCTGGTTTTACTACACAATAATTTGTTAGAATGGTGAGGGCCTCATTTTGCATCCAAATACAGCACCAATTGACAGATAGAAGTCCTTCACAGTGACCAGAGGGATTATGAGCCGTTCCTCTTCCAGAACAGTGTCCAGGTCACTATATGATGCTGGTGGACTCGCTCCTCCAAAACACCTCAATAATATTCAGATCTGGTGACTGTCAGACCATGGGAGATGTTCAACGTCACTTTCATCTTCATCAAACCCTTCTGTCACAAGTCTTGCTGTGTGTGTTGGTGCATGATCATGCTGATACACGGTTTGAGCATCAGGTGCTCATGATCCTCCAGAAGGGTTTGGTAGTCCTCGGCAGTGTCGTGTCCATCAAATACAATCAGGATTGTCATGATATTGGAGCTCAAACCATCACTGATCCACCCGTGCTTCACTCTGAAGATTGGCCGCCAGGCATATAGATGTGAAACCTCCAACATTGGCCAGTGTTTCAGTTTCATTGTCCAACCCCTGTAACTTTGTTTAATTTAATGCATCCTTTCTGAATACAAGTAATATTTTTCTTTGAAAAAAAAATAGTGTCAAAAATTCAATTGAAATATAACACACAGAGGGCCTTATTTTAACAATCTGAAACGCAAGTATCAAGCGCGAAGCGCAAGTAAATTTGTGGGCGAGTCTTGGGCGCTGTTGCTATTTTGCCGAGATGGTCCTCACTGCAGAACACGAAATCCAGGGGGAGGAGTTGGATCCAGATTCAACTCCTCCCCCACACCTAAACCCACCCATCTCCACCCCCTGATCCCTAACCCCACCCCTAATCCTACCCATCTACGCCCCTGATCCCTAACCCCAGCCCTAATCCTACCCATCTCCGCCTCGATCCCTAACCCCACCCCTAATCCTACCCATCTACACCCCTGATCCCTAACCCCACCCATAAACCTACCCATCTCCACCCCCTGACTCCTAACCCCACCCCTAATCCTACCCATCTCCGCCCCCTGATCCCTAACCCCACCCCTAATCCTACCCATCTCAGATCTGATTCGTCAGTACTACAATTAGGCTGAAAAATTTGGGTAAATTTGTAAACTAGATTTAGGCCTACATTTTTTACATCTTCATGGACACCACAATGATTTCCCTCAAGTGTTAATATTTTTCCTTGTTATAATGTATGATGCACACTTAAAATAGCATTGTGAACAACCTCCCTTTCTGGAACTGCAAAATAGTTGCTTCGAAACATGCTTCCTTTTTACGCCGACCCGCCCAGGGAGCGCAAGTTCATTCCCTAGTTTGCCGGCGTGCGTCTGTGTAGGGAAAAGCCGGCTTTGCGCGGCTGCGCGGGTGCAACATAAGAATGATACATGCGTCAGTGTACAAAGTCATTTGCGCCGGGTGCAAGATAGGGTCCAGAGTTGGAATTAGAGGGCGAGTAATTATTGAAGATATTCATTTTGGAGTAAACATTTCCTTAATAGAAGGGCAAGAAAGAAGATAAAAGAGAAATGCAGCTTCTTATCAGTCACATAGGAATCAGTGTGCATTCTTCAGATACTGCTTTCATGTAGTTTAGAGAAAAAGGAGAACACAGAACACAACATAACACATCCAGTTTTGATAAGACCCGAACAAAGCGTTCCAATTATTCCCCTTTCTCACTATAAACTGCCTTTGGAAACCATCACAAGAAAATACACTCACACAAACAATCTTGCATTACACATTACAGGGGGGTGTGAAAAAGGGAAATTCCAGCTTATTTTTCATCAGTGTTTGGCCTAGACGTTGTTTGGATTTTGAAACACTCACTGGTGTGAGCTGTAATGGAAAGTCATTTATTTGGAAGGAATGTGGCAACCAGTCATAGACCATTCATGAAAAAGCACTTCTTTATTTTCTGATTATTTTATTATTTTATATTATATTATTACTTTTCATTACATTACATTATTATATTATAACATTACATTATTTTATTAATTTTTAATGATATTAAATAAAAAACAAAAAAATATTTCAAACATAATTTTTTACTAATTATATAACCAAAATTAAGATTTATTTTATGATATTTTATGATAATTTAACAATTATTTGTATCATTATTGTTATTAAATAAATACATTAACAAACAATAGTGTAGTTTGATACATTTTGCTCCTCAAAGAAACTGTCTAGCCTTCAAAAACTGCAATTTTGGCACGGAGAAAAGTGGCAAGCAGAATATGAGTAAAGATCATTTCCCCAAAACATTCCACATACCGAGAATCAGTGTGACATCACACTCTGACATCACTGTGCCAGGCACTGGGCTCTCCGGGTGTGAGATCTAGCTGAGATACGCCCCTCACAACATGTGCTGAGGCCTAATGATGTTAGCAGTTTCCACAGTGCCGAACTAGCAGAACGTGGTTATGAATCAGTGGATTCAGAAGAGACATCAGGACACCACTCTGCTGACATGTGCACTTCTAATCAGTCTGTGACACAATAAGAAAAGAAATGCACTACGAAATGTTCCATGCCTTTTCTCTTTCTGTGTTTTTCAGCTTAATTTTGGCTTGTCTTTTCTCCTTTTTAAAACTGTTGTGCTTCTTGAGAGGCTGAGTAGTGAAAGTTGTGTCACATGATCTCTCTCTTCTGTCCTCAGTGATAATCTGTCCCAAATGGCGTCACAGTTAGAGTGTGTTTCCTGGAATCCAGTGACACCCAGTGTAAAGAGGTAAAGATCAACACTTTCCTTTCCTTTCCTTTCCTTTCCTTTCCTTTCCTTTCCTTTCCTATCCTTCCTTTAATTTACTTTCCTTTTGACCATTTCCTTTCCTTTTGATCATTTCCTCTCCTTTAATTTCCTTTCCTTTCAACCATTTCCTTTCCTTTCAACCATTTCCTTTCCTTTCTTTTCCTTTCCTTTTGACCATTTCCTTTCCTTTCTTTTGATAATTTCCTTTCCTTTAATTTTCTTTCCTATCCTTTCCTTTAATTTCCTTTCCTATCCTTTCTTTTCGACCCTTTAATTTCCTTTCCTCTCCTTTCCTTTTGACCATTTCCTTTCCTTTCCTTTTGACCATTTCCTTTCCTTTCCTTTTGAAAATTTCCTTTCCTTTCCCTTTGACCATTTGCTTTCCTTTTAATTTCCTTTCCTTTCCTATCCTTTCCTTTCTTTTTGACCATTTCCTTTCTTTTTCTTTCCGTTCCTTTCCTTTCTTTTAGACCATTTCCTTTCCTTTCCTGTTGACCCTTTCCTTTCGACATTTTCCTTTCCTTTCCTTTTGACCATTTCCTTTCCTTTCCTTTCGATCATTCCTTTCCTTTAATTTCCTTTCTTTTTGACAATTCCTTTCCTTTCCTTTTGACCATTTCCTTTTCTTTAATTCCTTTCCTTTCGATCATTTCCTTTCCTTTAATTTCCTTTCCTATCCTTTCCTTTCTTTTGACCATTTCATTTCCTTCCCTTTCTTTTTGACCATTTCCTTTCCTTTTGATAATTTCCTTTCCTTTCTTTTTGACCCTTTCCTTTCCTTTTCTTTTTTGACCATTTCATTTCATTTCATTTCCTTTCCCTTAAATGTTTGATATCCTCTTAAATGTTTGATAATGGTGTCTGTTTTAAGGAAAGGACTGCACTCTTCTCTAATGTAGCTCTGCACTTTGAAACAAAAGATCAGTGTGAAGTAGGAGCATGAATTATGCTGTGGTGACGGTAGGAATGAATCCTGCTCAGTCAACCAGTCCAACCAGATAGAGTGTCTGACCTTGGGTCTGGGGCATTGAGGGGTACTGTGTGTGTGTGTGTGTGTGTGAGAGAGAGAGAGAGAGAGAGAGAGAGAGAGAGAGAGAGAGAGAGACAGAGACAGAGAGATGTTAAAATGAAGACATCCAGACTGGCTGAAGAGCAGAGGGGAAGTCCCTCTTTCGGGTTGTTTTTGAGTGATTGAGTGTGTGTGTGTGTGTGTGTGTGTGTGTGTGTGTGTGCATGTCTAGGACGGCAGATGAACTCTGCCACTGGAATAGGTGACTGCGATGCTGGACAGAATATTTATGCCAGCTGTCTAGATAAAAGATTTGGGTCTCCACCTTCCTCACACCCGTTGCCATGAAAACAGTGTGTTTATCTGCGGAACGGATGAATGGATGGGCTGTGGGAGGACTGGACCAGCAATGGCTGATCATGTAATCTATAATGTGAAGTGAGTCGGACAAAGAAGAAGCTTTATAGGCCTTCAGCTCTTCATCCGTTACTCCCCACACTACAGATCCTCCTCCACGCTAACAGTCCTCCTTCGCTATCACTTATGACAGTTACGGCAGCTATTTCTGGCTATCACAACATCCTTTTGTTAATAAGGAGGAAAAGCCCATTCATATATAGCAGAGCAGAGCTCTCACGTGTTCAACTTCTGTCCTTTCTGGATCTTCTTTACTGAGAATCTTCTTGGTTTTAGGTTCGCTATGCTATGGAAGCTTGTAATTTTAGATATATTTTTTATCTCCCAATTCTTTTTTCATTGTAAGACAAACTTATAAACCGACTCTTCCCCTCGCAATAGTAAGTTTATGTTTTGTAATTATTGCTGTATTTTTCACAGTTCCTTTTTTTCTCTCTTTATTTAATCCTCACTTTATTTTTCACAATTCCGAGTTTATTATTGTGTAAAGTCAAAATTTGTAGATATAATCGGGCAATTACAAAAAAGAAATTGAAAAATTCATAATTACTAAAACAAAATAAAATCTTTATTCTCGCAACTGCGAGTTTAGTATATCTCACAATTTTGGGAAAAAAAGTTTTTTTTGTGAGAGTTGTGAGTGATCTTTGAGATGAAAAGTAAAAAAAAAAAAGTTAAAAAAAAGTTTTTGCTTACCCTATATGAGTGGTCTTGTTTGATCTTCTGTCTATGGATTTGTGTGCAGTCACAGTGGCAGTTATGAGGCCGACCCCATGGTGTACAGCTGCAGCGCACAGTATCACATACACACACATGGTGTGTTCAGAGGATTACAGGTGGGTGAAAAGCAAAACAGAGACAAAATCATACATATACACATTCAACTCTGCACACATTACATTCTCAGAATCACATAAAGTGCACTGAATTATTATTTATTACTTATAATAAACATTAAACACACACTATTATCAAGTGTATAATGTTTTAACACTTCACACTACCATTCAAAATTGGTCTCTTCTGCTCATCAAAGCTGTATTTGAACAAAAATACAGAAAACATGTTGAAATATTATTACAAATTAAAGGGGTGGTAAAGTATGATTTCACTTTTCTAACTTTAGTCAGTGTGTAATGTTGCTGTTTGAGCATAAACAACAGTATCA